GGCATAGGAATACCAAGTTTTTTCCTGTTGTGGCAAGTGGAAGACTAGAAGGAGAAAAAATTTTATCTCAAGTCGGGAGATTGAAGGGGTAACAATTTCCAATTAAAGAGAGATTGCAGGGGCCTTTGTGGATCATTTTAAGTCTATAATATATTTTTTTTATCAGTAACAAGAAACTTTATTAATGATGTGAAACTATGTGAAACTTTAAGTACAAAAGGGGGGAGGTAAAATGCCTTAACTCGCCACCAACAGAATACATTGGAAGAAGGTTAAAAATTAGCTCAAAATATAGATTCCCTATTCACCCCTTGCTTGGCTAACACATCAGCAAATGAGTTGGCAGTCCTCTTCACCCAGCTAGATTGCATTACAATATCCCTACTCAGCCATCTGAATATTTTCGTCTCATTGTTATTACTCCACAAACCACTGTCTTCTTCCTTTAGCCACCTAAACACCACCTCCAAGTCACCTTCAAGGACCAAATATCTGATGTTCAAATCTCTTGCTCTTTGGATACCTTCCAGGGCTGCAAGAATCTCAGCCCTAAGAGTCTCCTTCTCCAATTGGGCCTGAGAACACGGCAGTAACAACCCCATCCATATTCCTGAGAACATGGCAGTAATAACCCCATCATTTTAGGTCTATATTTAGAAGACCCCTAAACAATAGGGTGTGGATTGAGGGGTTGGAATGGCCAACAGTGAAGCTAGAAGACAGGGAGTGGCTGGAAAGGAAATTTGAATTGGAAGAGATAAAGGAGGCGGTGTTCTCTACGGATAGATCAAAGGCACCAAGCCCAGATGGTTTTATGATGGCTTTTTATCAGGATTGTTGGGAGATATTAAAAGAGGATCTACAACTGGTATTTGATGAATTCCATCGAGTGATTAACCCTGGGCTAAATTCCACTTTCATTGCCTTGGTACCCAAGAAAAGAAATGCAAACCATCCAAAGGACTATAGGCCGATCAGCCTAGTTAACAACCTCTATAAGATCATCACTAAGGTGTTGTCCATTAGAATTAGAAAGGTGCTCCCAACAATCATAGCAAATAACCAAGGAACTTTTGTGAAGGGGAGGTAGATAATAGATCAGATACTTATAGAAAATGAGAGCTTGGAGGATTTCAAGAGATCCAAGAAAAAAGGGGTGGTTTGCAAATTGGACTTGGAAAAGGCTTATGACTTGGTTGATTGGTCTTTCCTGCTAGAGGTGATGATCAATTTTGGGTTTGGAGATAATTGGTGCAAGTGGGTGATGAGCTACATTAGGAATTGCCATTACTCCATCTTGGTGAATGGGACAATGGTGGATTTCTTTCCAGCTTTGAGAGGGATTAGACAAGGAGACCCCTTCTCCCCTTTTTTATTTACTTTAGTTGTAGAAGTGTTTGGGAGACTAATTTCCAGAGCAGAATCCAGGGATTTAATAAGAGGACGGAGAGTTGGAAGGGAGAACATACCACTCACACACTTGCAATTTGCAGATGACACAATACTCTTTTGTGCAGTAGCTAATTAGCCCTTTAACTACCTTGGTTTGTCATTGGGAGATAATCCTCAGAAAGGTGAGTTTTGGGCTCCAGTTGTGTTGAGGTTTGAAAAGAGACTTGCCAACTGGAAGAAAAATTATTTGTCTCTTGGAGGGAGAATCACTCTAATTAGGTCTACCTTGGCTAACCTTCCTCTCTATTTTTTATCAGTCTTTAAGATTCCGGTTAGAGTGGCTAGTAGACTGGAAAAACTAATGAGAAATTTTCTCTAGGAGCCAAGGGAGGAGAAGAAGAACCATATGGTTAAGTGGGAGGTGGTGTATAGGAGTAAGAAGCATAGTTGTCAAGGCGTCGCCTAGGTGCCTCGGCGACTAGGCGTCCTTGGTTGGGCGCCTCGCTCAAATGCCTTGACTTTTAGCAACTAGGCGCCCGCCTAGGTGACTGAGCGCCTGCCTAGGCAACAAAAATGACAAGGCGGGCACCTTTTATAATATCATTTATATTGATGTGTCTTATTAATGTATGTGTTGATACATTTTATTATATGCTATATATATCAATTATACTTTGTTTTAATGTTTTACTATTGAAATTTAAAAGATCAAAGGGTTTTGAGAAGAGAAAAAGAAAGAAAGAAAGAAAGAAAAGAAAGAGGAAAGAAAGAATAGAATAATAAAGTTATTTTTTCTTCTCTCTCTAATTAAATAAAACCGAA